GGGGGGGGGGGGGGGTTGAAAAGCTCATCCCTCAACACTCTTTATTGGTTCTGATAGCGCCCACATGGCGCGCTCCGCGCAACGCCGAATGTGAGTTAGCACACTCACATGCAGAGAGCGCTGATATCTCTGATGGTAACAAGCAAAATCTGTAATAACGAAGAAGTCACAACACCGAAATCCCCACCACCCCCGGTCCACTTTTGTTTATGTTTTACGAGGCGAGACAAGCCTATTCGTGAAAGTGAATCAGTGATAAAATTAAAGATAAGTAAAAAGTGTTTAATTAGTGTGTGTCATGTCAATATTCTCAGTACGCGATGGAAAGTAACATTCTCAAGTGTTGACACCGAATAGGTAATCATACCATAGCATTTAAGTACCCATTCCTGCATGGATCTTACTTTGTCAGCCCCACGAACAGTTCAAAATACACACTCACAAATTCAAGACTTTTGCTGATAGTTTGGCCTGGTGGTCATTTTTTAACTACTTTTATCGGTGAACCATTTCAATTTTAAAAAGAAGGAACTGGACTTGAAGGGCTCTGTTCAAAATGACCATAGGTTATGAATCACTTTCTCTTTGGGAAAGTGTTCGAATTCTGACGTAGGTGGCCGGGAGAGGATTTAATAATCATCACAACTTCTAAGCTCTATGTCTGCACGAGTTCTTTGTATTTGTGTATGTGGAACATTAATTTGTATCTTTAAATTAGGTGGGTATAAGTATATCTCTAAGAAAGTCCTCTGCTGTTGTTCATGTGCCTTCTAACTTCAAGCTCTTGAGAAGACTTACCCTGGGGTTAGATTGTGGTTGAACTGGCATGCAATACGTCACATCCATACGGTATAAACATTTTTGTGGCAGCTTTGACGGAAGAAATGAAAACGACAAACAGCCCTTGTACTCGATAGCTTTTCATGCTGAAGGTAGAAAAAAATTCTACCAGAAAAGGAAAAAGGAATGCCTTAAAATAGTTACAGTCATGTGTGAAAGAGACCTCAAGTTTGAAAAAGTCAATACTTTCAGTCTAACCCCAGTGCCCCAAGAGTATAATAGGAAAAAGTATGTAACTTTTCAATTTGTCCGTTTTGTTGTATCTGTAAAGAACAAGCCTCCAACAGCACATTTTGGAATTTGTTGCACAAGATGTATTGCACTCCGGTTCTACCACAACCAGAACCTAGGACAAATCATCCTAAGATTTCTGATGAATTATTTGTTTTTACCTTTACTTTTACTCCATGCAGGTACGCTAAACACACATGTCAGGCGGTGATCGAAAAAAGCGAGCAGATCGTGGAGAAGGATGGGAAGAAGCCGGAGCAGAATTTTACCAAGAGAGCTATCCTGGAGAGATGGACTTGGACCATGTTCTTCAAAAAGATCCACATCATTTGGCAACTTTGCTTCCCAGCAAGCATACAAGAACAACAAGTATGTACTTCTTCTCAATGGTGTAAAAAGTTTTTAGCCTGCCCAATTTTTGAACTGGCTTTCCATCTTTAAAACCCCTTTTCCCCACAAAGTCGACAGCCACTTGTGACTTTTTTTAGTCTTTAATTCACAAATTTCTGCAACTTCGCATAAAGAACATGCTGATTACACCAAGATTCTATAGAAAACATTTGATTTCAAAGCTACCACAAGCTGGCCCATTCAATTTTGGACGAAAGCAGCCACACGATTATGATCGTGTTGTTGCTTGCAAAGCCATCATAGGAAATGTTGGCACCCTTGCTTTTTTTAAATTCTTGAATTTACCTATTCAAAAGATAACATACAGATCTAAGTAAATTCTGTATTTTATAAGTAACTGAATTGTAAATTGAGTAAATCTCTCTAAGTACTCCACCAATATTCTTGAGGATTTTTTTTTTTTTTTTTTTTT